TGGATGCCCCATTCCTGGAAGTGTTCGAGCCCAGGTTGGATATGGCCCTGAGTGATCCGATCTAGTGACTGGCATCCCTTCCAACACAAACCATTCATGATTCTGTGATCTTCATAACTCTTCACTGGAGTCACTCTGGTAAGTCCATGTGTGTCTTGTACTTTCTTGTACCCCTTTCAACAATATACATATATACAGCAACCATGCAACCCCTCAGAACACAGGGGCTAGACAGTTTGTGCTTCTGTTCTGAAACTAACAGATATCTGCCCCAGCCACTTAGTGTTCACTGTTAGCATGACAATGACCTTTCTGAACACTTACATATCTACAAAGCAAGTAGATGCCCGTCCTTTGATTTAAAATTGGGAAGTGACCAAAGTGCTTTGTTTTCTCTCCACCTAACGCATTCAGCGCTGGAAACTGCTAGGATTCCATTGAAGATATTTTGCCTGGTGATTCAGCTGATCTGGTATCAGAAGTCTTAATGTACATGTCAGGTTTTCAGTTTAAAAGCTTTTGTGAAAGATGCCATCAGCTAGGACAGTTCGTATCTACTGGACTAAGACAAAATAAAGTTATAAATTCTGGCATACTAACTTATTCCTAAAGATACTGAACTGGGGGTAGAAAGGGTTCAATGAAAATTTCATATACACATATATGACAGTAAAGCGTTGTTCTGAGTGAGCAGGGAATTTTTCCACCACGAGAGAGTGGTTTCTCTTACCAAGTATTTTATCCAAGTTGTGTCACATCCTGGTTGGCCTGTACTGCAACAGTCAGATAAAGCCTATGCCAGTGGGAGCAGCCACATGGTAAGAAAATCTCTAGCTAAACCATATGACCAGATTACCAGCACAGCAAAACTAGACTTACATTTTAGTGCTTGTACTAATATGAATTCTAGCTTAGGGCTAGACCTCTCCCCCATACATTATTAATATAGGTGTTAGCATAAATTATTAATGTAGGTGTTAGGAGAAGCACTTCAGGGTCAACTCCCAACTTGCTGCTTGATTTGAATTCAAAACTTCACTGAGTTGGAATTAATTTCTTTTTGCATGTGAATGGGAGTTCTTCCAGATGCCGTTAGTAAAGAAAAATGCCCAGCTGGGGACCCATGAGTATTGCCACAGCAGATCAGTGCACTCAATCCAATATCCTGACTGCCATATTAGTAATTCTCAAATACTTCAAAGGCAGATTAAAAAATCCTAATTTTGTGGAATAATCTCCTCAAGAGTAGCAATTTCCCTCAGACTTCAGACATCAGCTGCTATATATACTGAAGCATCAGGTTTTATTATTCTTCCTTCAAAAAATAAATGAGTAAATGCTAAATTCATGTCTAATATTACTGTGGACTCTGATCATGTCTATATTTTTCCTTAATAATATACTATAACGATAGACTTTAAAAGTTAAATTCAGATTATGAGAAAACTTTTTTAGGAGTATTTCCTGTGATCTATTTCAATAATATTAAGCAAAGCCAGTTTTGTTAGTAGAGATAATATCTTCTAATAGAGAACTGGTACTGTTGAAAAAAACCTCAGTATTCAGGCATTACTTTTTCCAACTACTTGTTAGTTTAACAAGATTCCTACTTAAAAAAACTGCCTTGCCTATACCTTAAAAAAAAAATCACAGCTACAATAACTCTTTCCCTTAAAAAGTATTATTATTCATTTGCATTATCTGATGCCAGCCTGCAGTTCAGGATCTGTTTCCACACGATTTACTAAATATGTTAATTCTGGGTCGACACAAAGAGAAACTGTCACTCTCAATAGCAGACATGGCTTTCTCAACAGTGGTTCAAATGTTAGGGGAGAGCTATTTGGCATTTGTGAGCTTTGGCTGGAAAAAAAAGAGCTCTTGTCAGGGCTTTCCTTTCCAAGGATTTCCTCCCCACCCCCATTCTGTTTTTCATTTAATAATGTTCGGTTCTGCCTTTCTGATAGAGCTCATAAAAACCCTGTCACTTGTCTATGGCTGCATGTGTGCATACAGAAGTGTTTCCCCATTTCTGGGTCGAAAAGCACACCACAGTTACCACTTAAACTACAAAGTGGGACAAGGCCCAGGGGTATCTATCTGTTTCTCCTTCGTCTTGCTTCCTGAATTTTATGCAAAGTATAGCAATACGCTCCTTAGAGATGCCAGCTTCAATGATCACGGGACCTAGTTTTGTGAAAAAAATAACATAATCAATCACTACTGCAGGAATGCCTGGTACATCTCCGTGCATGACATGAAGCTGGGGAGCAAGCTGAAGCAGATAGAGAATGGTCTGCGGGCATCCTCAGCACTCTGGTTGACCAGCAGGAACAGGCAATAAAAATAAAAATCTGGAGGGGAACACATAATTAATGATGTCAGGTTCCTATATGGACACTCAGTACCTTCAGGTCAGTCTTCAGGCCAAGTCCTTCTACATAGCTAACAGAAATGAAGATACAGGAGTGGTGAGAGCTTGCCAGAGTCACGAAAAGAGGCTCATGCCACCTTGAGCCTCTTCCCATTATTTGCTTTGCTCTGCGGGTCAAAAGATGAGGGACGCTTCCAAGTTGTTTTGGTCCTCAGTGGCTCAGGTACAGTACTTACACTGATTTTGGTGGGGGAGAACCCAAAAGTTCTTGGCACTGTACCACACACCTCATTGCTATCTGGGCACTCGGGCTGGCAAGACCACGCTCTACTGCCCAGTCCACTATCTCAGCTGTTCCCACATCCAGTGGGAATGTTTTGAACCTGAGCTAGAGATTGCAGATAGAAAAAATGCGGGTCATGTACGTACAAGCCCATTTGTGTCCTTGTTCCTAACCTCATTGTATATATAATATTAGACATATGCACAGATCAGCAAAAGAGGTGTGGGAAAAGCAGATTCACAAGGCTGAAAACACAGGTTAGAATACACTTGAGCAATGGGAGTGGCTATGCAACTGAAGTCTTTGCTTGGAAGAACAGATTTCATGTTCAACCAGTTTACCCAGAAAAGGTATTACCCTATGTGTATCATCAAATCTCTTGTAAGATAACTTGATACCATTAAATCCACAACACCAAAGCCCTGGACTAAAGACCCACAGAGCTTGGGAAAGCTCTGGGTGAAAGCTGAGATATTTCTTCTCCCTTATTAATATTTTTTTGCATTCCCTTCCAACCTCCTCACATGTACATATAACTTCTCCACTCAGTCTGACCTTTCTGGGGCCAGAAGGGATGTCTTCCAGGGGACATCATATGTGGAATAAGGGGTCATAAATAGACTGCCGATAACCAGGCTTAAGCGGATGAGGATAGAGGGTTCCTCTCTCCCCCCACACTTGGCAGTACCTCAGCACATCTTCTACCTCCCATTCCTCTCTGTGAACTCATGCACCCTCAAGTCTCCATCTGCCTTGTGCTGGCATTTTCCCAGGGCACGAATTAGCAGGACGAAGGGAGAGAAAACAATTCACTCCCAGACTCTCTCCCCTCTGCAGCAGCTGAGGGAAGTATCATCCAAAGGCACCTGCGTGTAGCTGTAACAGCATGAGGAAGCCCTTGGTTTCACTCCTCAGAGGCGTTAACACTAATGCCAGGGGGCCAAGTGATACACAGCCAAGTGGTGCTGTGGGCACCTCACCTAAATCAGCCAGGACCACCACTGAGCTGTGTACCAAACCCATTTTGGTTATCTCAGAAGGGACAAGTTAGGACTGAAACAATTTCCATGGCTGGGGCGATTATGATGTCTGTCTTCCTTGTGGAATCTGCTCTGGTTTGGCTGAGCTCTGACATGGAGATTTTAATGGAGAAACCAATAGACTCTTTCCACCCTTTTGCCTGCTTTTCAAGCTTGGTGGAAGGTAGAAGCTGTGAGCTCTTTGCCCTACTGTTGAAAAAAAGCAGAAGGCTGAAAATTGTTGGGGAATGAGAGATGATATCCTCACCTTGTCTTCTTGGTATACCAGGCTGAAACTGGAGTCTGGACTGTTAAAATCTTGTCCATTCTCTAGTTTCCTGTCCAAACTTTTTGATCTTGAGACTTCAGCTTAAGGCACGTTTACTTCTCAAGTTCTTTGAAGACTTTAACTAAGAAAGAAAGACTTTGATTTGTTCCAATGAGACAAGCTCACTCATTATTTTTATAAATGCCTTTTCACACAAACTGCGTGAAACTTTTTCACACAAAGCATCTCACAGGCAGGCTCTGATTTTCTTTTCATTTTTAATAAGGCAGAAGGCTATAACAGACAAAAAGTAAGCTTAATTCTACTAGATTCTAGTAGAATGTTTTTCTTACGTAAATGTTTTTCTTATGAAAATAATGTCAAGTGCACGTTAACATTTGTTTTTTTCAAATATATATACTCATTATTTCAGCGACTGCACCACAAGCTATGCCAACAAGTTTACTGAGGAAAAACTGAAAAAATTAAAATCTTGTGTAGCATTGCAAACGAGTCATTTAAAATCCACATAACAAAGTTCTCTACGCTCCGGGGAAAAGACTTCAAGCATCCTCTTAAAAACTGCCTCTCGTCTCCCGGAGAGAGAGAATCCCTCGGGCTGCCTTCCCCTTATGCCAGCAGGAAGGACACAGCCAGCGCGTTTTTCGGCAGGAAAGAGGTACAACACTTTGGGAGAGGTGGAACCATTTCAGGTCCTGCTCGGAGCGCCGGTACTTCGACCTCGACCCCGCGAGGGGGAGAAGGGTCGACGGCCAGCCTGGCAGAGAGCTGGAGCGCCGATCGGGCCCGGGGCAAGGGTCCGGCCGTGTCCCGGGGCTCACCTGCCGCCTTCCCTTGCCGGTGCGGGCGGTGACCCCGGCGGGCGCCGCGCCGAGCGGTTAACGCCCCTCAGCCGGTCCCGGCCCTCTGCACCCCTCCGGACACCGCGCCCGGCCGCCCGTGGCTCCGCGCCTGCCTCCCGCTCTCCATCCATCCATCCATCTATCTATCTATCCATCCCTCCTCCCTCCCTCTCGCCCGCCCGCACCGGCTCCCCCTCCGCCTCCCCGGCCCCGGCCGCCGGCGCTACCCAGGATGCCCCGCGCCGGCGCAGGCGCGGCCGCTCAGGAAGAGGAAAATGGCATAAACAACCCGGAGCGCCGGGACCGCTGAGGAGGAGGAGGCGCCGCCGCCCCGGGCCGCGCGGCCCCTTTAAGAGGCGCGGAGTCGCCCCCTCCTCCTCCCCCTTCCGGAGCCGGACCCGGGGTGACGGCGGTCCCCGCGCCCCTTCCCCCTGCCCGCCCCCTTCCCCATGGTGCCGACCCCGGCGGCGGGGCGGTTGCCATGAACAGCAGCGGCCTGCCCTGCTCGTCGCCGTCGCCGGTGGTGGGGCCGCCGCCGCCGGGGGCGGGGGTCGGCGTGGCGGGGCCGGCGGCCGGCGGGGCGGGGGCCGCAGGCGGCGGCGGAGGGGCCGTGAAGCTGAAGTTCTGCCGCTACTACGCCAAGGACAAGACCTGCTTCTACGGCGAGGAGTGCCAGTTCCTGCATGAGGAGCCGGGCGCCGCCCCCGCCGGCCCGGGGCCCGCCGCCCCCCCCCTCGGCGGGCTCCCGCTCGGCATCCCCCCGCCCGCCGCCGCCGCCGCTGGGCCGGGATACCCGCCCCACGGGGCCAGCTCGGGGCCGTCGGCGGCGGTGGTGGGGCCTAAGAAAGCCGAGCTGGGGGCAGGAGGCGGCGGAGGCGGCGGCGGCGGGGGGCTGGATGGCCCGCGGCTGTCGAGTGAGTGCAGCGGGGCGGCCCGGGGGTGGGGTGGGGCGGGGGCGCTGCTGGGATGGGGGCGGTGGGAGGGCGGGCGGCGTGTTGTTCCTCATCCCCCGGAACGCCGCGGTGCTGCCGGAAACAAATAACAACAGCCATGGTGAAGGCGGGGGGCCCCGGGCCGGCGGGGGCTCCCGGGCGGACGGACGGGGCTGTGCCGGCCGCCCGGAGGGGACCCGGGCGGCACTGATGGGAAGGAGCGGGCAGGTGTGTGTGGGAAGGGGCTCCTCCTGTCTGGCTTTGAGGGGCACCCTGGCAGCTGTGCGTCGGTCACTCCAGCGCTAGGCTTGGTGCAGGTTCCCAGAACGTCTCTGCTCAAAGTCAAGCTGGGAGAAAAGAGGCAGCGCTTTCCGGAGTGGTACCCTCCGATGGGCGCTTCCAAACAACATATGTTGAGTTTTGGCTCTTGGATGTTTTAAATGTTCCAGCTGAAATATAACGTTAAAATTGTAAAAAAAAAGTACTCTATAAATAACGATTCACCCCAACATGAGGAAGAACCTGTTTACGCTGAGAGCAGCAGAGCACTGGAACAGGCTGCCTAGGGAGGTTGTGGAGTCTCCCTCTCTAGAGACATTCAAACCCCACTTGGACGTGTTTCTGTGTCACCAGCTCTAGGTGGCCCTGCCTTGGCAGGGGGGTCGGACTAGATGATCTCCAGAGGTCTTTTCTAACCCTAGCGATTCTGTGATAGATATCTACATTATTTACTAGTGTGAACAGAAATTGTTTAAATTTTTTTTCCCGAGTTTTTTTTTTCAGTCCTCATATGCAGCCCCTTTTCAAATGGTGAGAATTCAGAATGCCAGTATATTATTCAGAGTGGCTCTGCTGTTACTGGTTGCTTGTGCATCTTCGTGATGTGCAGTCCAATAGTTAGATGGTGTTTGCAGTACAGTGATTTTAATAACCAGTCATTTTGTAGGTAAAGCAGCACTTTGGCAGGCAAGCAAAAGATGTTCCTTCAGAACAGTCATGCCTCTTTACATGAGTATATTAAGCTTGGCTGCATTATTGATTTGTGTCATAAACCTGGCATTTATTTACATTAAATGTCTTGTCTACTAAATGGTTACAACCATATTTTTTCTGAAATTAAGATGCTACCATGCTGAACAGCTGTATGTAGGTTTTTAGTGCCTGATAAGTCTTTTGGGATCCTGCAGCTGCTGTTTTGCCAGGTGTGGTGAGCTTGTGCCACTGAGTATTATCTCTGTAGTTGGTAGCTTCTCAGTATTGTACATTAACACAACACTGTCATGTGTACCCTTTCAGGAGGAGCCTGTAATATACAAGTGCTTAAGACTGTCTATTAAAAACCTTCCAGATTTTTGTCATACTTCGGTTGTGCAAGCTGATGTCCCTCTTGCCATTCATTTTTTTTTTACAGGTAGAAATATCTTGGAGAGATTCAGTAGCAATAAGGCAATCTTTGTTCATTTTTATTTTGGACAAAGTTAGGTGTGAAACACACTTTTTCCCTGTGTGAAAGAAAGTGACTAGGGGCTTCAGACTTGGGGAGAGGATGCATAGTTTGGCTTGTGGGTAGAAGCTGCTATATGAAGGCTGTTCTTGTAAAAATCAGTTAAAAAAATTTGCCCAAGCCCTAAATCTAAGAAAAAGCCCTTCAGAATTTGTGTGTACTTGGAGGTTGATACTGCTGAGCAGTTAAATTATTTGAAACACTTGCTTCTCTTGAATGTGTCAGAGGTTTAAAACTACATAGAGCTCCCTGCAGTTGTACCCATTGTGAGGAGTGAGGGCACCAAGAATGGAGAAACCCACTATGGTGTTTTCAGTGATTGCCTGCTGGGAAGGCCACCTCACTTGTTGTAGATTTGCAAATTGTAGGAGGCAAAAGCTTTGATTGGTAGAAGATCTTAAAGGAAGGAGACTAGTTAGGTAAAAGAAGTAAGGAAAAGAAGGACAGGGAAATTTAAGTTGAAGAGCCAGGGAATGGGCCTAGTTTCACTTCTAAGCTTCCTTGCTTTGCTATGCATTTGTGAAACAAATAAGGAAAATGGTTTTTCAAAATGTGGAGTTGATATACATAGGTGCTCTCAAGGTAATATCTAAGTTCCTTACCTTGTTGATGACCTGTGGTGTTAACAGTATGATTTTCAAGTGGATGGAATGAAAGTTTTATTTCTATGAATGTAGGAAGTAATAGATAAAGTTTTATTAAGTAATAAAGTTCTGAGGATAAGAACATGAAATTGAGAATTGCCAAAAATCACCTGCCTGTACAGTCTCACCGACTGTCTTCCCTAATTCAAAAGTATTTAGTAGTCTTAACATAGCTGTGGATGTCACCTTCTCTTCCTCTTTCCTCACTGGACCCCAGCCTCATTCAGTGCATAGAGCAGATAATGCTCATTGACTAATTAACTGGGTAGTCCTATTTATTGTTAAAAGTGGGTCAGTGCCTCATTCTAACATGTGTGTTACTCTAATCCTGCTTTGAGTACAGGATTATTAATTTACTTATAGGTTTTTCTGTGGTAATCACAAAGGCCCCTCAAATACCAACGTATTTTTACAACATGTGGGGTAGGAATATTGAGTGACAAGAAAATGGTAAACAGGGAAAATACAAGAAATATTTCAGTGCAGAAGTATTTCGACATGAGAGTATGAAGTGGAATGAGCAGGTGACATCCTCAGAGCTAACCAGGAGAAGTTTCTCAGGCAATGTGTGGTTAAGCTGTTCTGTGCCGTAGATGTTCTGAAAGCTAACAACTGACAGGATTCCAGAAGTGGTCAGATAGCGTTAGAAGAAAACTCTGCTTGAGGTTATTTGATGCATCTCTGATTCAGACTCCTCTTCCTCTACATATGGCTGAGAGCCTGCTGGGAAATCCTGCTTTATCCTTGCCTCATGCGTATGCTTTTGTCCACATATCCACTGCTGTTCAGCGTCAGAGATGAGGTAGTGGGCTAAATGTGGCTTTGGCCTGATGGTGTGGCTTTTTATGTTCTCGGGGAGCAGGACTGACCATGCTGATGAGCTCTGCCCACTGTCCCCAGACTGTTTGACATTTGGAGCACATGTGTTCAAAGCATCATTCCTTCTCCTTCCCTAAGAGTTGTGAATGCTCAAGCCTTCTGCATGGTTCACCTTCCGTATGTAAGGACTGCCTACAAAACAGGAAACATAGTTACTATTGCCTGTCTAAAATTTGATTAAAAAAGATCCTTTTCGGTAGAATCTCTGTGACAAACTAAGGAGGAAAGAAAAAGAAAAAAAAACAACAAAACATTTTCTCCAGATTTTCTAGCTGCTAAAATCTACACATGGTGCTTTTCTAATAGAAAAGCGTGTCCCTCATGTCAGCCCAGTGAGCAGCAGTGGCAGCAGGACCAAATCTGTACTAGGCTGTAGAAGGAGGGAAATGGGGGAATGACTGGTACTTGATATTTAAGGGAAAAGATATGATGGATTAATAGGATTTTAAGGATTAGCCTAGGGAAGGATGGGGAGAGGGCATGGCAGCCTGAAAAATTTCTCTTCTTGTATTTGCTTTGTGTTCTCTCTAGCACTTTCTAACTTCTGTGAGCAGCAGACCAGCAGCCTGCTTTGATGCACGTGTCTGGCTTGTTCCTAGGGCACTGTCCCTTCTCAGTGCTGCTGGGGGGGAGGGTCTGGAGGGAAATGTGGTTGTGGTATTAAAATGTGTCATGTATATACCTAAGTCAGACAAGTTAAAGTTGCGTGGACATCTCAGTTGTGTTTGTTAGCTTTCAACTAGTTGAACAGGTGTATTCCTTTGTGTGTGGACCTTATAGTAGATATTGATAGATACAAGCTAAAGTGTGGCTCTAAACATTTGCTAAATTCCCCTCTGCTTTTTGCTGTAGAGTACATAACGCAGAGTGCTCACCCTTTTGTCTGGCCTCAGATTGCTATAAATGTGTCTAAAACCCTGAGGTGCCAGCTATGCTCAGGGCCGGCAGCAGCAGCACTGGTGGGTGAGTTGGTGCCGCTGGCCAAGGAGCTGGCCATGGTGAAGGTGCTGCTGCTGTTGCCCAAGTTTCCTGTGCCTGGGGCTTGCCCACCCTCTTGTTGTGAGATGTTTTCATCTGGCTGTCTACTAGAAAGCCTTTTGCAAAGCCCTGCTAGGAGCCCTGTAGTTGAAATACAGGCCTGTGTTTCTGCAAGGTAATGTTTTTCTGTGGCTACTGAGAAAGCCTGTCTCTGAATAGACTTTACTGCCAGCTTGTGAGAAGGTGGAAAGAGAGTTCAAGACTTGGGGTGTGTTTGGGTGGCCTAATAAAAGTATTATGTCTGTTTTTGTAGCTCATCACTCACATGGTATGTCTGGTCAGAGCAGTAGTGGCCTCTGCTGTAGCCAGTCTATGCGATTGATTAGTGATTAGCTTAGTGAGCATTACAGCTGAGGTTTTGTGAAATCCATAAATATGCTAGGATTGGTGTGGAAAGACCTAGCCATTTGTATATTTTTTGCTTTTTAAGAGGTGTTTGAGTTTTTACACAGTACATTCCTTTTTAAACAAAATGAAGCAATGGATATAGAAAAAATGGGAAGACAGCCATTCAGCAGAACAGGTACTAAAGGTAGTCTGTTACATTACACTTCTTAATGCAGTGAAACAATGGTCAGGATTATTCTAAATATGTATTTTTTCTTATCTTTGGTAGCATTTCAGTATTTACAGGTTGAAATATTTAGAAACAGTTATTTCAAACTTTTAAATAGTTACAGTATGTCACATACTGGTCACTTTTCCCTGGGTTTGTTTCTTCTTCACTTCTATGCAGAAAATAGGTGTTACAGTAAAGGTGTATGATTGAGAATTCTATTTTCACACGTTTATACTTTTTGCAGATGATACTGTATTAGTTGTGTACCTCAGTTGCTTGTTTGTTTGTTTTTGAGAGGTGTTTCCCTCTTTAATTTTCATTATGCTTTTTCCAGGAGTAGACAGATCATACAATTTTC